TCATACATAGAAACAGAGTTTTAAGGGGCCCCCAGGAAGTTGGGGCCCTAGGCAGCTGCCCAGTATTGCCTAATGGTAAATCCCCCCCTGGTTATGGAACCAGTGGAACAGTTAGCTCTCTTGTTCTAACCCAGCCCAGTCAGAACTGTGGAAATGACTGTGGGCGTCGGGACGACCCCCCTCCTCACTGACACTCTCATGAGGCTGGACCTGCTGAAGGACCTACTGATCCGGTTCTATGATGCCGTTGTCCTCTCCTCATCCATCTAATGGCTCCTTATTTAAAGAAAACATATTACATATACCTAATGCAGATATATGTATTTAGTTACTCTAATATTTTTATCATTTTCTGAAAAATTACTTCTGCCTGTATTATTAATGGTCAGAGTGCCCGATTTTCGGCCCCCCTCTGTCCTGGGCCTGGGACCTCTGACCTGTTCCCCCCCCCGTCAGCGAGCGTGCCGATCAGGACGATTGTAATCTAATCAAACGCTCGAAGAGAACTGAGTGAGCTTCTAGTTCAAAGGTTGTGAGCCAGGAGGAGACAACAACAACAACAGACGGTTACTGTAGAGGAGAACACATGGAGTCAGAAACGGGTGGGGGAGGGGGCCAAGAGGCCGACGGCCACACTGGACGAGCAGCAGGACGTTGGTTCGTCTGGACAGCAGCGTATAGACCGTACCCACCGTGAAACTCGGTGGTGTGAGCATCATGCTGTGGGTTAGGCCTCATGAAAGGAAGAAGTTAGTTTAGCTGTTTAGAGGCCGCCAGCAGCTGAAGATCAACTTCAGGTGTTTTTATGATTAAAAAGAAGCTTTAAAGGAATGAAAAGCATCGACTCACGATTGGCTCTGAGCTTCTGTTTTCCAACACAGACAACAAACCCAAACAAGCAGGAGGAACATCTTCATCCTGAAGACCGCGCTCTGCAGAGACCAGCGACCGCAGACACCCCGACCTCCACTCTGACGCTTATTGATCAGCAGAGGTCGGATATGAGGACGGGGGAGGGGCTTTCCTCTGTGTTTGTGTCCAAAAGGTGAGTTTGTTCAGTCTGTGTTTTCCTGTCTTACCCAACGCCGATGATTCACAGACCACCAGCTCTGTTTGTTCTTCACTGAAACCCACAGAAATCTGTTCAACTGGAGCTTTTTGGGTTTAGCAAGACCTCCACAAGCTGGAGACCAGCTTTCATCTCCAGCTCTGATCTCTGGACTTTAATGTTTGGGTCTGCTTCCTTACTGAAACCTTCCAGAGGGGAAAACTTGGAGAAGATCACTCACTGACCCGATGACCAACCAGATCAGAGCTGGACCCACAGCCCTGATTGATCAAAACAAACCAAAAAGTGAGGCCATTGCTGCATGCAGACCAGCAAACTTCAGCTCCTATACCTGCTGTCCAGCAGGGGGCAGCATTCTGGAGCTGTTTCTATGCTAGGAAACACAGCAGACGCTGGGAGCAGAGTGAGACCAGCTTCTCCAGGGCGGGGCCTCCAGTTCATCAGTTCATGCTCCTCATGTCTCATCAGGACTAATTAAACACCGCCATCAGGTGCGGTGGGGTTTGAAATATGGCCGCCATCTTAAGCTACATTCACACAGCAGCCTGCAGTGACCCAAATCTGTTTTTTTTTTGCCCACATGAGACCTGGATTTGATCTTTTCATGACCGTCTGAACGACACTGATCCGATTCTTTCTGATGTGACCCAGGCTGCTTGGCTCGTGATCCTGAATCCGATATCTGATCTTTCCAATGATCCTGAATCTGAACGCCCAGGTCACCTTCATCTGACCTGAATGCCTTTAATGCCCGACAAACGTCACTATTCTGCATCTTGCTACGCAGAAGCAGGAAGAAAAACAGCAGCCATGTTGGATGATAATAAATATCATTATGCTACGTTCAGAGCAGCAGGAGCAGCTAAAACGCACCTGCTGCTTCATTTTTGATGCTCGTTCAAGTTTAGTTCTGACGCGCAGCTGAAGCATCTTTGCTGCGCGGTGGTAAAGTGGGTCTGATGCGCG